TGACTCCGCATGTTGTAAATACATGTCCTCCGACCGAGAATGGATTGACAAGGTATTGAAATCGTTCAGACTTATGTGCATAGTTGAGCTACATAGAGTGCCGAATGCCCGACAGCAGTGCGTTCATCCAGCCATCCCTGCCCAAGAAGTCAAAGTGGTCTTTACAGTTGAGCTCAGTTGTGTTGAACTTGGAGATTGTTGCTAGATAACGATGTGTCCAGAGTGCCGGTGGTTGATATTAAAGCCAATCTCCATCGCTATCAAATTCCTCTGAAGCCGCCTTTCAGCCCGAAGCTGGTGCCAAGAAGAACCGCCAAGAGAAATATACCCAGACCGACAGATAAGCCATCAAAGCCAGTGCAAGCTCACAACAAGCCTGCATCGGAAAACCATCGACCGGCAGTAATAAAACACCACTCATCCATCCCGCTGGAGTCGACTTCCCTCTTCAAATTACATCCCAATTACTTCCAACCCAAACAGGATTGTAACTCTTACCCAATGAAAACCGCCCCACTCTGAACTTGAACCGGAACTTGAAGCTGCAAATTATCACCCATTCACTCTCAAAAGAATTCAAAACTCTCACCAAAGGAAACACCTCTTTGACAGATCTTCCTGGGCTCCCTCAAACTGAAATAGTCATAGTCCATCCTAATCAAGAACCCACTAATAATATAATATACTCTTTATCAATCTGCAATAATTAAAGAATATTTTAAATAAATCCATAGAACAACCACCACCACCACTCCCTCTCCCTCTCCTCAAACTCAGCCTCCGGCTTCTACATAAGTAATATCAATACAGTCGGTCACTCTAAAGCCTTATCGGTCTCGCCATGGTCACATCACCTCTGGTCCAGGTATGTCCTCTTATCTCCAGACTCACCCTGACCCTCTCTCTCTCTCCTTGCTCCATTGCTTAGCTGGTGAGATTATTGCCACTCCCACCGATGGCACTCCGCCGGTGACATATAATCCGGGCGATTTGGCGTGGATCCTGATGGCGAGTGGGCTCGTGATGATTGTTAGTCTTGACATTCCACCTTCCCCCCTCCCCTAAAGCCATCGATCTTCTTCTGGGAGATAGTGCCCAAGTTGTATGACAGGATCTATCCAGAGGACCACTTGAGGGCTAACTGTGCAATCTCGTCTTTGTCACTCGGTTCTTGTTATCAATTGAGATGACTCCTGGCCTGGGATTCTTCTATTCAGGCCTGCTGAGACGGAAAAATGCGCTCTCGATGATCTTCCTCTCCTTGGCCGTCTACGGCGTCGTCTCCTTCCAATGGTTCTTCTGGGGCTACAGTCTTTCGTTCGCCCCCGATGCCTCTCCCTTCATCGGCACACTCTCTCAGTTCGGATTCATGAATGTCGACCTACAGCCGTCGATCGGCGGGCCCAAGGTGCGATTAATGTACCCTTATCTATCGCGTCTGGAATGAGCTCGGACTCAGGAAATCGCACAGCAAAACTTACCTGTTCATCAAAATACATGTGTCTATCAGATTCCTGCCTTAGGTTATGCTATTTATCAGATGATGTTTGCAACCGTCAGTCCAATTCTACACCTGGATGATTCTCCCGCTGGGTTTATCCACTGATCAAGTCTTCTCAATCAACCCGGGTTCACAGATCACTCCAATGATTGCGCTCGGTGCCATCGCTGAGCGAGGTCGCATCGCCCCAGCGTTGGTGTTTACCTTTGTCTGGACTACTCTAGTCTATGATCCTATTGCAGTCAGTAGTCTCCTTCACCATCTTCCCCACCAATCGCCTTTGATTGAACTGTTTTTTTTTAACTTTCTGCTCGTAGTGCTGGACTTGGAATCCAAACGGATGGACCGCCAAGATGGGAACGCTTGATTTTGCCGGCGGAGGCCCTGTTCACATGAGCTCTGGAACAGCCGCTCTCGCTTACAGCATCTGGCTTGGCAAGAGACGTGGCTATGGAACTGAAAAGCTTGCTTACAGACCTCACAACGTATCGCACGTTGTCCTAGGAACCGCTTTCTTGTGGTTTGGATGGTACGTCTTCTCTCCCCTTGATATCTTAACTTCTTGCTGATAATTGTTTGGTGTGTGATCATAGGTTTGGCTTCAACGGTGGATCGGCCCTGGCTGCCAACTTGCGAGCTTTCCAAGCCATCATGGTTACAAACACGGCCGCTGCCGTTGGAGGGTTGACTTGGCTGTTACTGGACTATTGGCAAGAGCGGAAATGGTCTCCAGTTGGCTTTTGCTCTGGTGCGATTGCCGGCTTGGTTGGGGTTACTCCTGCATCTGGATATATTGGAACCCCGGCGAGCGTCGCCATTGGAGTGATCACCGCGGTAATTTGCAACTACTCAACCAAACTGAAAATCCTACTAGGATGTGACGATGCACTTGGTGAGTCATCCAATCTTCTCAAGCTACATGTTCCGTCTCCAACAGATTGACTGAACCTGCCTTCTCTCGTTGATCATCCAGATATCTTTGCCTCTCACGGTATTGGGGGCTTTGTTGGATCCATCTTGACTGGGATCTTTGCAGATCATCGGGTCGCTGGATTTGATGGAACCACAATCATTCCGGGGGGATGGATCAACCATCACTACATGCAGATCCTGTATCAACTCGGAAGCTCGTGCGCCATCATGGCCTACGCCTTTGTGGCCACTCTGATTATCCTCATCGTCATGAATTACATTCCCGGACTCTCGTTAAGGGCTACACCCGAGGCTGAGGTGATTGGAATTGATGAACACGAATTGGGAGAATGGTCAGTCGGTTTCTTTTACAGGCGCTCTCTCTCTCTTCATCATCAAGCTGATTCCCACCATGATTGCCAAAAAAAAAACATCAGTGCTTATGATTATGCGCTCCTGGAGAGAGACCTCGAGAACGTTGACTATCATGATGAGCTCCTGAAAGCCACCCGAGAAACGGGTGGAGCATCAGCCGAGTCTCACACCGGCTCAACGGTGAATATGTCGCAACGTCATCCAGGAATCATCACACCCGAAGTGGAACGAGTCGACGTGCCAGCATCTAATTCCAACTTCAAAATGGGCTAGCATCATATGACCCTTTACATAGTCCGAAAGCCCGCATCGTTTCATTATCGGTCATGGATCTGGAGAATCGAAAGATGCAATACTTTTTTTTTGATAGCTCCTCTCTCGTTTCCATTCGTCATGCTTGTATTTCACTCAATTCATCGATCTCTGTTATGACTCTCCTGTCCTGACACCTCCGTCTTGTCATCTCTCGCACAAATCAATTTTAATCTTCTAGACACTTTGGATTTGTTAATTTCTATGTCTTCCCCGGTCTAAATCTGTTCGACTATTTCTCCTCCCTACTCGCGATCTCCAATCCCTTCCTTCTCTGTTCGTCCCCATCGTCTATTACCTCTTATACACGGTCTCGCCCGATTTGTTGTACTCACTCCTTGTACGCTCATTCCGGTGTTTTGTTGTTGCTGTTGTTTTTTAAATTTCTCTTTGGTTGATGTTATACGTTGTGCTCACGAAACTATGTAATCTTTGGAGTCTTGATATCCTTCATGATTCATGTCAAAAGATATAAATGGACCAGATGGACACACTTTTTCTCCCTCCCCCCCCCCTTTCTCTTTCTTCCTCCCCTCCTTTCTTCTTTTCTTTTCCTTTCTTTTGCAATTGTGAACGGATCATTATATTTAAAAATACATAATACCTATTCAATGAAAATAACATCTTTCGGGGTTGCCAAAACCGAGCCAGCTCTGGATAGGTTGACTTGCAGGTATCCTCGGGTCGCACGAAACAGACACAATGCACACCCCATGTTGCAGGCTACATAGCCCATGTATAGTTGACGTGCTGGGGGAAACGGCAAGAATTGAGCTCCGGTGACCAGTACAGAATACCTCGACCGGCCATATGATAGATATTTGCTCTTGCAAGCGCAATCTCGGACCGTCTCGAGGAAATCAGGAATCCCTTGAGTCGAGCGACCGCGGTCACCCGATGCGGCTCAAGCTTGGCCGGAATCTACCCAAACATGATTTCGCTATCATATGTATCAAGACGGGCCAACAAAATATATTTCATGTCAACATGAAGTTCGATCCACTTTGCTGAACCAACAGCTGAAAAAACTTGGGCCAATTGACACCGCCCTCGAACGTCGGTGGAAGTACCTAGGGGAGCTCAGTGGAGGTAAATCTCTCGTGTCGTTGGACTAGCGGAAACCAACTTGGATGGCAACTCACTGGACCACTTTGAACACCCACCCGTGCAGCTCTTCAAGCGGGGCTGAACGGGGCCCACATTATGACTATGTATGTACATAGCCAGTTTCGAGTTGGTGGTGACGCGTTCCTTTACTCTTCCGTAAAAAATAAATATCCATGGAGCGCAGCTACGCTTTCAGCAATGGCTCATCAAATGTGCGGGGCTCTGCTAACGATGACATGTTCAGAGCTGGCTAGACTTACATCCCCAGTTGAGTTGGCTGGCTAGCTGCTCATGAATGACTTTTGCCGGGAATTTTTGGAGACCCCAAATTGTACATACCGACATCCCCACACTTACATAGTCCCGCAAAGCGCAGTTTGCTGTTGCAACTGAGCCCTCGGCTCAAATATGATCTTGCAGTGATGGGTGAGCAAATATTACAGCAGGAGCAGACCTTGAAAGAAGTTTTAAACACGTTCCAGATTCGTTGGGCCACTGATTGTCTGTCGCCCGCAGAGGCAGCTTTAGCCCGACGTGGTCCTAGCCTCGCCAATTAGACAGCTATATATAAAGCCCCTGGTAGCCCTGGGTTTTGTGTTTCCCAGCATCCCATTTTAAACATAGCTCATTCTTTCAGAGCACCCCAAATTCATAATCAATTTTCGTGTTCCGTTCTACTTCGTGTGCTATAAAAATGCAACTTGCGTCGTCTTTATGTTGTTTAATAGTCTTCTTGACTATCAGTCATCAAGGAATGTCAATGTGGGAACCGACTGGTAAGCGCATGTTCCGGAAATCTGATTGTTCCATTATAAATTTTGATCATTCTTTGGCTGATGATGATATGACGCAGATATCCAGATTTCTTATGACACAATCCAAGGCCACAATGCCGCGGGGAGCAGCACATTGGCAGTACATGGACACACGCACAATCCATTGTGTGTCACGCGCGGGTGTTTTGGCAATCCCAAGCCAAAAAAGAAAAGAACTCGTCGTCCCACTCATGGCGGTACTACTGGAGGCGGAGGTTGCGGCGGTGGCTGTGGCGGCGGAGGGTGTGGGTGCTGAGCAATCTTGGACAACCTCGCGAAGTTACAATGCTGGGGATCAAACCAACGACCTAATTACCGGAGACAACAGAAGCACATCCAAAAAAATATTTATTTATTTATTGTTTCATTGCAAAGTCTTCAGATACCCAGTTCCCAGCTTATCTGCATAGCTTTCTTATAGTTTATCTTTTTGGTTCTTAGATCTCTGAACTATTAAACTCTTCTCTCAACTGGCAATCAAAACTGCTACTCTTAAATAAAACTACATACATGCCCAGAGACTGTATATATCTTGTTGAATGTTAGTCAGGAGAATCACTCTTTATAGTTGCTTATTCCAGTCTATTCATTGTATAAGTATGGAGTAGTTTTTTTCTGGCAAGGAAGACCTGCTTGGTTTTCCTGATCTTAGGTATCTTTATCTTGCAAGCATAAAATACTCATATCAAGTATGTTTTTCTGGGCTCGATCATACATTCACAACAATTCATTTTTATCCATTTGCAGACATCAAGTCTAAGCTTTTCTAGTTGTTTACTTCACCCTTATCTCAGGTATTGGGAATCATACATCAGGCTTGAGATTTATTTTTCCATAGACTTCAACAATGGACTCAAAGTAGATCTTGGCTGAATCCTCCTTACTTAATCACAGCCAAAATCATGAGTTATGATTTTGTTTTTGTGCATTTACAGCATGAAAAATTAAGGGGTAGCTTCATGATTCATGTGGAAAGATAAAAAGAACGAATTTTTCTCCCCTTTTTTTTCTTTTTCTCTTGAAATTGTAAATGGATCATCAAATTAAAAATACATAAGAATCACTTAATGAAAACAAAATCCTCCGAGGGTTGCAGAAAATAAAGGCAGGTGATGTTGAGTCGCATTGACGCGCCACCAAGCTAGGGATACAAATAGGGCACCGAGCACGCTTTTTGTTGCAAGCTCCAACTTCCAAATTTGGACGGGGGACTGCGACCATCACTGACCGGTGTTTCGCCACCGTCTCGTAGGAGGGAGGGACTTTCTTGAGTTAGTTGCAAAGTATCCCTTATATAACTGACGTGCCGGGGCAACGGTATGATTGAACGCCGGCCAGACTGCCTCGGCCCATGTGATAAATCAAGAACAGCTCTTCGAATCATGCAAGCGCAGCACTCGACCGTCTCGAGGAAATCGGCGTGTCTCACTTGCCATACTTTGCAGTAGAATACTCACCGAGTTTGCGTACGGTACAACAGCTTTCTCAACGACGTCTATCCCCCCCCCCCCCTGACGCCTGACGCGTCTCGCCTGATGAATCGCGGCTATTCTGTGCACTCTTACTGCGACTACCCATGAGCAATATTCTGGACAGTCTAGAGATCAGTTAAAAGTCTGCTTCCGACGGCCAAACCTGTTAATTCCTCAGGTGACCAAACCCCCCTCCCCCTCCCTGTTTTCTAGTGTTGTTGCAGCCCAATTGCTTTTCAAGATCTGTCCCCCAAAATCAATTTATATCTTCACCTGGTGTCATACTAGTTCAGCATCTCTCAAGGATTCCTTGATTGAAAGCCGAATTCCATCTGGGGGTCAACTTATCAGAGATGAAGTCTCTCCCAGTTCTAGGGACTTCCATATGGGCATTTTTCCAGTTGATCCAGCCAATCGTCTTGGTCAACGGTCCCACCCACAGTCTCACCAGGAAATTCGAGGATGTCGGCGCGCCGGTTGAAATGGCGGCAGAGAATGAAAGAGCTGCTAAACGTCAACGATTGGGATCGGATGAACAAACTGGCAACGTATCTGAACGTGATACAAGCGCGCCTGATGATCAGAAGTTCAAAGGTTTGTGAAAGCATTTTGTGTGTCTGTCTTGACCCGGACTTGATTGACTCATTGGGCTGGCCGTCTGCTCTCATAACCTTATTTGCTGAAGATTATCCGGACTGCAAGCCAATTCAGCCCGATCTCGCAGCAACAGGTTCTGCAGTTGATTTGCCAGGTCCGGTTCAAACTGAGCAAAACAAGTCCATCGACAGACTGCCAACACTCAACCCCCAAACACCTCAAATAACAAGCGACGTGTTTGAAATCTCAAGGGACCATCCCTATGTAGGAGGCCTTGGGCCTATTCCCGAGTCCTTTAATGTCGACAAAATTCCCTTCTTTGAGTCAAAATATCCAGAAGTCTGTACGCTTTCTGACCTCACTGAATGGCTACCGAATTTTCGAAAGACCAAGGCAAAAGCAAACTTAAATTCTGGGGAAGATTTGAACTACCTTCCTGTGGTTATGCTACCTTTCAGTGGCAGATCAGTTCATGTCCATGACCCGATCAGTAATCTTCGTATTGTGAACCAAAACAATTTCTACCAGGGCTACGAAAAAATTAAACAGTTGGTTGGAAATCTGCGAAATTGGCTTTTTTCGCATCATTATCGTTTGTCAAAACGATTGGGATTATCAGACGATGCGCGAGTACAAGACCGAAGATACTTACATGAATGGTTCAGACAAGGCCTCTTCAAACCATTGGGTTGTCTTCCGGCAACCGGGAATGTGAACTGTGCGGCCCGTAAAAAAGGGTTTGGATTATTCCAACGATGGGTAATATGGTACCTCTACTCTGAGGATCTAGAAAGAACCGCATCTATCACTGCAGTCGCACTGAATGGATTGTGGTGGAAGGATGTTTCTAAAGCCCACTGGCGAATGATCATGGAGGCGAATGATTGCTTTTGGTCCTTTGTCTCGACTCCTGTGCCAGAGCTTGATCAGAAGGGGCCAGGAGTCCGATTCCCACCATTTGAGCCAAAGAAACCTGCAAGCCAGTTGCCTCATCTTGGAATGATGGATATGAAAGATCTTCCCCTTCGCGATGCCTTTCAATTCACCAACTTGATCATCAAGACTCCAGCCCCCTCAAGACCAATATTAAAGCTTGAGAAGGCTATAGTTGACCGAATTGACGAAACATACGGAACAGTAGAAGAAGTAAACAAGGAAGGCAGTGCACCTTCCAGTGCTGCAACCAGATTTTTTGAAATGCGTGCCATCTTGGAACCTGCTGTAGAACGTGACACTAATGAGCTAGGGTTCACAATTAGACTCATTGACGAAAGAGGAGAAAAGATCCCCTTGGAGACGATTGAAGAACGGATGGAGGACTTGTTGGAGTCTTTCAGATGGTGGCATGAGAATTTGCAGTTGGGATTACTAGAAGCAGGGATCCAACCAAAACCGAATGCGCACCAGTTGTTTCTGAAGTGGCTCAAGAGCATTTTGTTTGGGAAAAAGAATAGTGTGCCTGTGTTTGGCTTCATAGACTTGAGCGATGGAATGATGATTTCTCAGGGTCCGCCAGGATTCGGCAAGATCCAAAGATTTGTGATACATCGCTTGGCTACCGATCCTTCAGTCAAGATCATCATGGAAGAGAGGGAGAGCGGTTTCGAAGTTCCAGCCACATCTGCAACTGATGAGATGGCTGTTTTATCTCATTGGTATCATTTGTATTTTGGAAACTTCTGGCGGGATTATCTCCAGAACAAGACTAAACTCATGGAGTTTTTCAAAAACGGCTTGGCCAGTAGAAATGGTCTTCCGTTCATTGCCAAATTCTAAAAGCCCCTGGCTTGATCAAACCCTGATCCAATCTTCATATACACCCAAGTCTCTCATATTTAGATCATCAACAAAAGACAAAATCATCATTTTTTTAATTCAAATATTCTTTTAAAAGAAAACCCTAGACTTATATATTTCAGGTTTAATGCACCTCTCTCAATTGATTAGAAACCAGTCATATTTGATATGATCAGATTGAAGTTTTACAAACTTGTTCGTCCAAACTCCTAAATCAATTCCCCCAATCTTTGTTTTTTATCCTCATAGAGCGGATTGCCAGACAAGAAAAATTAAAATGAAGCTTGCACACTAGTGAACCAGGTTTCTTGCGCAAACAAGTCATTTCATGGCCAATACATAGTTCCAATAAAGTTACAAAAATCTATTTGAGAGCCCAACATAAGATCTTGCATGTAGGTCCCAGCAAAACACAGGGTTTGAAGCCTGAGCCAGGCCCCTTCACAGCTTCATGAGGCTGTTCAATGAGTGTATTGGTGCACGTAAATATTCATCAGGGACAAAAAGAAATTCCAAAACACCCTTTTGGATTCAGAAGTAGGCATCAGTTTGTGATTTTGACCAATGTCTTGCATGTGAGGAGTTGCGTTGTGAGGATAGTCGTATGGAGGTTGTTTGGCACGAACAGAGCACACAGGGGATATCAGTGATGCCTGTTTCTTGAATTTGAACCGGGACAAACTGGCCTCTCGATCTTCAAATTTCTCGTCCGGGCACCCCACATGACGCGTAGACCGTCCATGTGAGGTGAGCTCTGCAAGTCGGGGTCGTTACCAGGTCTGACTGGCGGATCGTCAAGGATCATCATCGTCAAATTGACCAATCGCCTCCTCAGACCAAGCTTGAGCTAGCCTACCAATGAAATCGCATTAGCTCAGTTCGCTGGGCTATTCTGGGTCTGGGCCGTTGGATTACATATGTTCATAGTGCTTGATGCATCACCGCAAACAGCTTTTTCGGAGGGTGAGGCCAACCAACATTCCGATTCCCGATCCTCATTTCCATTTTTGGTTGCTCCGTTAGATCGTGCTTGCCCTTACAATTCCAAGCTGTTCCTTGATTTGGGCAGTGTCTGGACAACGTCTCGGCCCCCCCACTGCTTGCCGTTGCCGTCTCTGAGGATCCCCGGGATGAAACAACGATTAGGCGATCAGGCAAAGTCGAAAGTGGTTAAAACCTATAGCATGAGCCCTGCAGTATTCAACAACGCTGGGCGCTAGCTGCTAGCATGCTGGATGTGGCATGTTGGAAGGGTGAACAGTATGGGTTTATGACGGCATAGGAGCAGCACTTGTTGATGTATGTCTGTTATGACTCCATAAACCCATACTCCAGTCTGCGCTGTCTGCCAGACTATGTGGTTAGCTTGGGTTCTGCACCGCCTACTCCAGTCTCTGACCCTTCCCACTGCCCATCACAGCACTTCAAAAACCCCCCCCCTTCCCTCCCAGACCCATCTCCTCCAAGGATAGCATCATACCACAAAGTATTCTCCTCATCATCCAACATCTCAACACATCCATCTTCACCACTTCCCATCTGAACATCAATCGACATGTCTGCCAATGATTACTACAAGTTGAGTTGCTCTCTTATCCACTTTCTCTCTTCTGAGCGCGACCCCGACTAACCCCTTGGTGCTCGTTCTTTTCACCTCAAAACCAAACTACTCTTACAGCAAAGGACCTCAACAACCCCAGTAAGCTCCATCTCATGGTCCCTTCGATACGTTTCAGCTATAAATAGTGCCCTAACCAACATGACTCCTTTTGTCAAACAGATATGGGCAACCCCAGCAAGGAGGGTACTATCCCCCACCTGGACAACCACAAGGCTACCCACAACAACAGCAATATCCTCAATACCCTCAACAACAACCAGTCAGTCAACTTGCCCCAATTTCACCATCTCTTTTCCCTTAGTTCGTTTACTTACATCATCAAACTTGGGTACAACTTTCCGGTTTTCAGGTCTACGTACAGCAGCCTCCAGCCAAGAAAAGCGGTGGTGGTGGTACCGGGTGTCTAGCCTGTCTTGCTGGTGCCTGTCTCTGGTAAGCTCGTGTTTTCAAATAAGCTTCATAAATACGCACCGCGCCTGTTTGGTGGCTGGCAAGTAACCTACTAACTGGCTGTTTCTTTTGCTATGTCCCATCACTCCTAGCTGCTGTGCCGAAGAAGCATTATGCGACTGTCTATTCTGAGGAACTCGCCATCTGCTCGTCCCAGGCTGCACCAGAATCGACCGGACTTACTGGCACTCCTCCTGCCCTTTTTTGCCCAATTTCTCCACCTCGTAACCAAAGACTTCCGACTCGTATTGAATTCTGTAACTATTTTACCACGCGTCTTGCGTTTTTTTTTTTTACTTTCGACTCTTAGCCCAGCCAAAGACGGTCAAACATAGCTTTCTCTCACAACTCCAGTAAAAAGGCATTCTACTTTTTGTTTATCTCCTCTTTACTACTCAAGGCGTTCAAAGATCCTTGCTATAAACATCAACTAATCAACTCATGTCCCCTGTTGGTCTACACTCCCCCCCCCCTTTTTACAAACGGTTGTGCAGAAACATACGTCTCTAAAGCATTCCCTATCTAATCTTAATCCTTTCACCTTTTTATCCTTGCTTCTCTTCTGTCTTGCTTGATGGTCAATTTGAATCACCGAATAAATCATTGGCTTCTTTTACCAACGTCTGCGCCCCTCGTTGTCAGCTGGGCTGTAAGCAATTCATGCGTGATTCAAGGTGGAATCCGTTGCGCATGCCTGGTAGTAGTACATAGGCCCCACCTAAAGTCAACCCTTAATGAGCTTCGCATTACAGAAATTGAATTGGTTTTGAAACTTGGTTAGCTGTCACCACCTCGTACACAGAGCCTTGAAAGCACGCGTGTCATCTGGCGACTTACTGTTGAAACCCATGTCTTAATGGCCAACATCGCTTACCTGTTCTCCCTCGTTGGGGGACTGCTTAGGACTGCTTCCAAAAGTGTTTCGAAAAAAAAAATGTCACATCGGCCCGGTCCGAGTGGCAAGGGTTCAACTTCAACAACCTACGGAGGTGTCCGTCATCCTATCTATGAATCACACATCTTTAATTTCGTTCGTGGTATCAGTAATCATTTCATGCTTTGAAACTATTCATGATCACGCAAGTGATTCGTTAAAACATGCGTACAAGAAGGGGACAACGGCACGGGCTAGTCAGTCGACTTGCTGAGCTCCAATATTTGTTGCTCAACGAACAGGAAGTCTGCATTAAAAAACGTTTACGCAGTCCATTGTGTCTAATGCTTCTCGAAAACAAATTCGGACGAAGATCAGGATGAGTTCAACTCGCCTTGCTTGGTTGCTTGGCACTAATTGCGTTCTAGTTTTCAACTTGAAGCTCTGCATCGGCACTCCCACTGTTGGTCCAGATTTCCCAGCAAGCAGTGCTTTTGAGCATAGAGCAGAAGTCAGGTGCCATCAATCTGAATACCAAGAGCCCTCAAATCTTCACCTTGATAATCAAAAGAACATGATAACGTCCGACGTAGGTAGATGGGCTCCAACTGACCTCGATCTGGATGAAGAGGGTACGTGATGATACTTTTACTTGCCGCGAAGGCTTCTTGTAGTTCATTACGAGTCTCACATGGGTGTTTCATTTCGTCTGGGGACGCTGGCTTTGGGATAGATCATGAATGGTGGGAAAAATTAGTAGACGAATATTCAGCTATTGGGCAACAGCATCTTCCAGCGGGTTTGACTTTAGGTCGCGGCTCTCACATTGAATCTCAAGGTAAGCCATGTTGAGGGCAACAAAGATATGACTATAGGTGTTTTTTTTTTCACCCTCCACTCACATAAATGGATTACCCGGAAGTGCCACCAGACATGGTGCCTTTGTATCCTTCACAATCCCAGTCATTACCGGCTTCTGGCTTTCCAAATGGTCAACAAGATGGACAGGTCGATACCACTCTAGTTTCGAAGAAGCGCCCACGAGATGATCGGTCGGAGGAGTGGGAATTTCATCGGCAAGCCCACAGAATGAAAGAGACACAAATGATTGATGAAAGATCTGGAGAACAATCACTGATCCCACTTGGTCATGGACCTCAACAGCAAGAATCAATCAGCTCCATCATCAACAATAGACCGGGGGAATTTAAAATGATGACGATCTCTGATAAAACATGGAATCCAGTTTTTTCTTGGGCTGGTAAACACCTGAAGATGAACAAAGAAAAATCGGCAACCGTTCAGGATTTTATGCAGCGATTTGAGGAAGAACAACAGAAACTGAACAACATGTTGCCCTTTCAACACAACTATAAGAAAATCCAGGTAGATGGTACATTGCTTGAGCTCATTCAAATCGACCGTGCTGGACATCAGGGAATACATGACTTTATAATCCTGCCAACAGGAATTAGAGGCCCAAGCTCAAAACGATGTCGCGGTGAAAAATTGAAAAGCATCAGAGCTCGAATCGAGCATATTCTTAGAGCATCCGAACTTTTCCATCGGCTGGCTGTTCTACATGGGTTCGACTTGGAAGTTTTTGGCACTCAGTCGGGGAGCACTTGCAAGAAATTCGTGAAATGGCTTGAGGGGATTTTCTTTACAGAAACTGAGGATAGTCTTCCGCTGTTTGGTAGCTTGAAAGAAACATGCAGAGCCGCCGAGGAGTCTGGGAAAAGATTTGGTGGTGCCCAGAAAGAAATATCAATAATTTTAGCCCAACAGAAAAGGTCAACAAATCCTGAAATCTACACATTATCACTTTCTCTGTTGGGATACTGGTATAAGATGGAGGTGTTGAAGCTCGGTCGATTAGGACTAAATGATCACTCGGAAAATCTCTGGGAATTCTTATCATCCAAAGGGTTTTGGGCTAGTCAGCTATCAAGGATCGAGTCAACTGAACAAGGCACAAGAAAGGAATTTTTTTGGAAACAGGACATGTGTGCAGTTGTTTGTCATAATCAAGAACATGATTTTTTTACTTCCAAGATCAATGAGCATTTTGGAAACCGGAAAGATGTTCTCTATAAGGGATCAGAATTAGTTAGTATACTTCCAAAAACAGATCCATCATTCATTACTGAACAAACTAGAGCAGAGATTAAAATGAAAATTAAACAATATGGCCAAAAAAGGCATCACAGTTTTTCACTAGCTACAAAAAAGATACAGATGAAGGCTTTACCCATATATCTCATTGCAGATTCTGAAGACCAAGATAAGAAACAGGAAGTTGTGATCAATTTGAGTGAAAAAATTGGATTGAAAAGGAAAACCCATCATAAACAGATCACCTTATTTGAGAACAGAATATTAAGAATATTAGAATCATTACTCAGTTTACATAAAATTGCAAGTGAGATTGTAGGAGAAGGAATGGAGAATACACAAGAAAACTTACTAAGATGGTTCCTGCTGATTCTATTTGAGAAGACTGAAGCTAGCTTGCCTCTTTTTGGTTTTGTTGAGATGGTATTCCCACCCCAACAGGGAACATCCTGAGAAACTGTTTGGTAGTCCCCAGAAATACTTGTCAAAAGAGTTCACTAGTTCAATACCATTGCATGAAAAACAAGCAAATCAAATTGCTTACTAGATATTAGGATTTTGGTATGAAGAAATTGCTTTGAAGAGTGGCATATTATTCCCTAATAGTGATCATCCAATGTCTTATTGGGACATATTTGATCAAATGATTGATTACTCAAGATAGTGTAAAGAAAATATGTCTCAGAAGTTTCATGATCAAGTATCCCAAAATGAATTTTTATTTCAATTATAATTCCCTGATTCACAATTGACTCATAGGTGAAAAAATATAAATTCACAAGGTAATTCTGGCAATGAATATCTTATCTGTATTTCTTTCTGTTTACATATGTAACTCTATGTCATTATATAAGTTTTAGCCATAGAGAAGTATGCAGGATTGAAGTAAAAAAAAATTCTGTTCAAGTGTCTTCCTCTTGGGCTAGGCTAAAGAGTAGTCATATATCCACTAAAATTCAAAAATGGGATGTAAATTTATCAATTAATGTGATAAATGTGAAGTTTTTTTTTTAAAAAAAAAACTCATTTTGGTCAAGTCACTAATTTTCAATGTTTCAAAAAAAAATCTGACTTGCAGCATCACATGGAATTCTTTCACTTGATGATTCATTAATACTTTATCTTTTGTGTTGTATCAAGTATTAATTGTTTCATGCTTTGCAAGTATCTATGTTCATATGATTTATTTGTTAAAACATGTGTGGGACGATTGTACCATAAAATGAGCCATTCAGACACCTTCCTGGGTTTTGATATTGATTTTGGAACAAGCAGGGAGCCTAAATTAATTTTTCCAGGTTTTATTCCGTTTGGCCTTTTCAGGAAAACAAACTTTGAGGAACATCAGAATGATTTCAACTCATCTTTCTTGGTTTCTTGCCACAAATTTCATTTTACATTTCAATTGGAAGCTCTGCATCAGCCAACCCATCACACCCACCACATTCATTCATTCTGAACCTGATGTCAGCGAAAGAAGTGCTTTTGAGCACAGATCAGAAGTCCATTGGTATCAATCTGAAATCTGAGCCTTCAAGTTTCAACCTGCAATAAAAATAAAATGGTAAATCTGTCATGA